CATAAAATGGAGAATACTCAAGCATGAAATTGACAGTTGCTGTTGGCTTAGCAGATCCGAAGTAAACACACCCACACATGAAGCCAAATTGCCCTGAAAACCCCTGTGAAGAATAAACAGACCATCCTGAGACAGCACATGCAGTAGTGGAAAAAAATGCTCCACTTGGAGTCTTGGGTTCTAGTCCTGGCATGCTGACAATGGCTAAGCTGTGTGATCATGAACAAGTCACTTAATTTCTCTGAGCCTCAATGGCCTCACCTGTAAAATGGAGATAACAGCGCTCCTGCTCCATAAATCACACAGCTATTGTGAGGCTCAAATGAGTGAATATAAAGAGCTTTGTAACCATAAACTGCTATAAATGTCAGCTATTATTATCGGCAGGAAGCATGGCTATTAGAAGACCCATTTATAATCCCACTTACCTTTTTAGCTCTGCTTCACAGGGGAACATTTTGCCAGGGAAGCCAATAGAATAAAAACCTGTCTTCTAAGTATAACAAGGAATGTGATGGAAGGCATGAATGTGGGAATTGAATGTGAATTCTTAGGCCAAAGGATGTGTACCAAGGACTGGGAATCTTCTGAACTTCTCAGTGACTAAATAAAATAAACAACTAACCAAAAATAGGGATATCTTGTAGAGCCAAGGGCACCAACCTCTAAGACCAGGACACAGACACAAGTTCACTGACAGAGTAGACCCTAAGACTGCATGAAGTCTCTTCTGAATAGCCCAGACTCATTACCTCATTCCTGAGCTAAGCCACCACTGCCTTGCCAAGAGCTACCCAGAGATGATTTCCTGTTTCATCATTTACTCCCATTATCTCACCAAGTGCACTTCAGTCCTTTTGAGGCTTTGAGATAAAAGAAGGCTAGATAATGGGTCTAGACTATATTTGGAGATTGCTTCAAGAGGGTGTTATCAATCCGAGGGCTGGGGGCAAGAGAGCTTAGAAATGGTCCTGCTGAGATCCGGCTACCCAAAGGTCTATTTGATTGGATCCATGTTTTCATTTTCACAATAGAGAGTGCAAGGTCAGAGTTCAGCAAACTAATAGAATAAATGTGGGAACTGTCCCTGCAACAATGGAAGTTGGGATTTTAGGTCTCACCATCGACCTGCCCTGATGACCCTTTAGATAGAAGACAGGATCGCCCTCTAGTGCCCTAACCTCCATTCCAGCAATGGGCTCGATCTCACACCAGCTAATCACGTCTTAGGTAGGAGTCCAAGCAGGCTAATGAGAGCTCTGAGCCATGGACATAAGCAATCACAGCTGCATGTGATTTGAGATGATGAAATAATGATGACTGCATTGAATGCATCTAAGAAACCCAAACTAAAGTGTGAAAGTAAGGCTGCTGTCTTTAGGACACAACTGAATCAATCATGGTATTTTACTTCTAGGAAATAACAGGAAAGGAATAAAAGCCTATTAATGCCATCACAGCAGGGAAATGGGCAAAAGTGTGAATATCGAATACAGCTATTGTAAGGATCCCACTAAAGGAGGGGCCCTGTTGTATTTGTGCATGTATACATTTATTTAGTGCCTGTGATGAACAAGGCACTGTACTACATGCATTCCAGATCACTATTTTATTGTTTGATTTGCAAAACTTTTATTTTTTAATTTGCAAAAAAAAAATTAATTTTTAATTTGTGAGAGATGAGGGAGACTTTTCTGGTGTATTTATTTGGGAGACTAAAATTACCACCTAAATGGTTCTGGAGAAAGAGTATGACAGGAAGAAAGAAGAGAAAAAGATCTCTGGCACTGTAGAAGATTGCCCAAATACAATGCCTGTATTCCCACTTGGAAGACCCTTCAGTCTCTTCTCCACATACCAAAATCACCTAGTGATTTGTCTAGCAGGAGTGGAGAGCCTGCAGCTTCAAAGTCACATGTAGCCCTCTAGGTCCTCAAGTGCAACCCTTTGATGGAACCCAAACTTCACAGAACAAATTCCTTTGTTAAGGGTATTTGTTCTGTGAAGTCTGGATTCAGTCAAAGGGCCTCACTTGAGGACCTAGAGAGTTACATGTGGCCCCAGGATTCCCCACCACTCCAAGGCATACAATTAGTGGAAAGTTTTTGTCTCCTTATCAAGCTCTCCGGCCCTAAGTAAGTTATTTGTTCTTTCTAGGGCTAAGTTTTTTCACCTGTAAAATAACTTGGAAAGTTTCTTCTTCCTCTAAGGCTCTATAATTCCATCCTTCCAGTCCCACCTCCTCCTCCATGAAGTCTTCCCTGCTGCTCTAGGCATTCTAGATCACAACTAAATCCTTTACCCTCTAAATTCCTCTAGTACTCTTTCTTTGTGCCAATATTTTAGTAAGAAGAGCTCACACTCCTACGCATTTTACAATTTTCAAAGTAATTTCATTTATTACATTTGGATTTCATTATAGCCCTGTGTGGAAGACTGGGCAAGTATTATTATTTCTGTTTTACAGCTGAGGAAACTGAAGTTAAATAATTTGCTAGCTAAAGGACCCACGGCTAGCAAGATGGGGATGCAAAGCTAGAACCCGGATCCTTCTTCTTACTCCTAGCCCAATATCCAGTATGCCCTTCCATCTTTTAATCCATATCTTTAGACATGTCCTGTCCTGAGACCTCTCTTATTATTGTTGTCCCATCCTATTATTTAACCTTTTTACATGTGAATGTCTTGCCGGTCTGATTAGATTGTAAGATCCTTGAGGGCAAAGGAGATGTGCTATTTTTTTGCATTCCTGAATAGCATGCAAAATGATGCCATCACAGTACACCCTCAATAGATATTTGCGGCATAGATACATGATCCACCAGTCCCTCCTTGTTTATCACAACACTCCTCATGCTTCAACTGCTTTGTCTTTAGGGGTGCAAATAAATAGAACAGGATTGTGATATTCAACCACTGTGATTCTTGGTAGCTTTTCTGTATCTCTGTAGCATGGTGGGTAGTTAGAGATGTCCTACAAAATGTAGGCTGGGGAAATTGTTACAATGCCATGCTGATAGACAGGTTTTGGGTGACAAACTCCAGCTATTCTCTGATTCAATCCAATTCTATTCAATTTAACAGTTATTTATTTCACTGGAAAAGTCCAAGCTACCTCAAGGGTCATTGAAGAAATGCCTTATTACCCTTTGGGAAAAAATATCAGAGTGGGATGGGCAACCAGAAATCCAGATCTTGCTGCTTATATGTCATTAAAATAGGGTCTGAGGAATTTAAAAACTGAAGCTTTCACTCAAGGGGCTAATTAGGTGCATACTCAGCTTATGTCAAACATAAAGACAGCTCACCAGGTAAGACTCATCTGTATACTCCTTGTTTTAGTCAACAAATAATTGAAAGCATGTACAAGTATCATAGAATAATAGAATTCTAGATTTGGAAGTAACCCCAAGCAGTTAGGTAGTCCAATCCCAATACAATCATGAATTTATTGAATTTATTTTAAATTTATTTAAGACTGACTGGTGGCAGGGAGAATATCACAACCAAGAATCCATCTCTCTAGCATTTCCAAACTCCCTAGCTGTCTCTCAATATACCACATTAATTACAAACATTTTAAATATATAGAATATTTCATATATATATATATATATATATATATATATATATATATATATATATAGTATAGAGAACATTTTTAAATATACAGAATCATTTATTGAGATAGTAGATACTTTTGAAGTTATCTACCCCAATGTCCTTAATTTACAGTCAAAGAAACTGAGACCCAAAAAGACAAAGCAATTCACTAAAGGTCATACAGAGAATGAGCAGCAGAGCCAAGATTTGAACCCTGTTCCTCAGACTCCATATCCAATGCTCTTTCTACTGCATGACAGAAGATTATATTGGACCTCAGACAGGGAAAGGTCTGAGACAGATATGTTCTTCCTGGACACATCTGGATAGTTGAAGACAACAGCAGGACTATTTTATCAGAGTTTTTGTCAGAAATCTGGGTACTTGGTTTCTATACCAGAGCAGCAACCATGGCTGGGAACCATGTGCCACACTTCTCAAGACAGAAAACCTCTGGGCACAGTTGGAAGGGAGCATCCAAGCTTGCTGCTCATGTTGGCCAGATAAACGTGCTTTCAGAAAGATGGTTCACCAACTAAGGAAATAGCGTTTTTCTTCCTGATCCTAGGAGAGGTTTCAAGACCCTTGACACCCCTGATTGATCACTCTTTCTCTCACCAAATGCCCTGATGCCCACACTTAAACTGGACAAGCCTTCTGCTAGTTAAGCAGAGGGGAATGACATCCCTAGTGCTCTCTCTGCCAGATACTTGGAGTCTATCATGCTTTACAGACACAAAAACAAATTCCACCATATGTTAAAGTTAATTGCAAACATTTGCTGCTGAAAAGAGTTCCATTTTTCAAGAGCCCATGGAGATCCGGTTACAGCAGTGGCTGAAGCATCAGCCAACCTCACATGCTCATTTAAAGTGGCAGGACCAGTGTTCTGGTGGCACGTATGACAGAGGAAGGATCGTCTTGCTCCAAAACTTACTCCCATTATGCAAGTTTAGAGCTTGGCTCTTCAATTTTGCAATCCTTCCATCAACACTAGCCTAGGAACAATGTGGAGGAGTTGGGTAGTGGTGGGAAAAAACGGGGATGATGGAAGGTGGAGAGACGGGGATAGAAAGGGAAGTCAGCTGGCTGTGTTCCACTGTCCGGTGAGTGCTGAAATAAGACGGCACAGGGAACCACGATGACCCCATGAGGCCCAGAGAAATCAGACTAGATTGCCAGGGGTCTGTGCAAGGATCTCTGAGTGATAGTTATTGATGGTGTGGTTTAGGAAGAGGCCAGTCGAGGGAAGCTCGGACTCACAAACCCACTTAGCTTAGAATCCAATCTTAGGATGTCACAAAACATAGAGAAGTCGGGGAGGAGGGGGAGGAAGAGAAGGAATGGCATTTGAAACTCCAAGGATAATTCTGCCCTGGGCAACAAGGAGGAGATACCTTAATGAGCACATCTGGAGAGTAGATTTCTTTGACTGTGATACCAAGAGGGAGAAATAACCATTTAGAATTCCTAAGTTGTTATTCTCGCGCATCACCCAAGCAACTCCAGAACAAAGAATTTCACAGGGTCTTACATGGTGATTTCCCCCAACTGCAGCTTTAGATACCAAAGGGCCAAGCCTGGGTCTGGCAGTCAGCAGCCTGGGATGGGATGCTTGAACGTGGGAGTATAATGCTGAGGTTTTATTATGGGTTCTAGTCTCGGCTCTGCTCCTAATCTCCTATGCAACCTAGTCAAGTCAACCTCTTCTACACCTCATTTTCTTCCTCTGTAAAATGGAGGGGTTGGACTACATGACCTCTAAGGCCCTTCCAGTTCAAAATTCTCTAAATCTGTGTGCTTCATTGAATGTGTTTCTCAGGCACCTGCCTGACTCAAGCCATCATCGCTGTAAACAGCTCAAGTGTGAGTCTGGTTGACAAGGAGAGACCCTGCAGGGAAAGGCAGATGGAAGAGCAACAAGTGTGGCAAACACAATAACCGCCCCTCCTGGCAGTGCGTGGGATGTCCATTGCTTGACCGTCCCAAGGACAGCTTTTGCTTGTGACCAGTGCTCAAGGCACTGCCAGCAACCCATTTGCCCTCTCAGCCAAGCCTGCATGTGGGAAATCACACTGCCTGGGATGTCACCTCCAGATAAGGAGGAGGAAATCCTTATTGGCATGAATGTCAGGGAAGCAGCAGAATCCAAATGTCCAGAGCCCTGCCTGGGCTATGTTTCAGAAAAACCTTGATTCCCAGGCTGTGTCTGCATGATGCTCAAACATCTGGTAAATTCAGACTCTGCAATCAAAGGAAGGACTGATTCAGTGGGGATGGGGCGGGGGCTAAAGCAGGCAATAAAACTAACATAATGTAGATAAGGAATGCACTTGGAATCAATGGATCTGAATTTGAGTTTTGGCTTTACCATCTAGCAACTGTGTGACCTTGGGCAAGTCACTTGATTTCTGGAAGAGCAGTTTCCTCATTTATAAAATGGGCATAATCATATCAGTTCAACCTGCCTCAAAGGAGTGTTCTTAGGATTAAGGGAGAGGGGGTAGGGGAAAAATAACATTTATCAAGTGCCCATTATGTGTCAGGCACTGTACTAAGGGTTTTACAAATATTATCTCATTCTGATTATCTCACAACAACCATAAAAGGTGGGCACCATTATTATTTCCATTTACAGTTAAGGAATTGAGGCATATAGTGGTTACATGACTTGCCCAGGATTACATGGCTAGTAAGTTTCATTTGAACTGAGGTCCTCCTGACTCTAATCCCCAGCAGTCTATCCACTGTGCCATCTAGCTGCCTCTCAAATAAAGTTATGCATTTAAAGTGTTTTACAAGGAAAATGTTTTATATCAATGTGTCATTATTAGCAATCATAATCCAATAATTCATAGAATGTAGAACTGGAATAGCTCTTACAGAAAAGTTAATCCAACCCCCTTAATTCACAGATGTCAAGTGACTTTGCCAGGGTCATACTTAATACCATACATTTAGAGCTGGAGAGAAGCTCAGAGGTCATCTAGTACAGTAACATCATTTGTACAAATGGGGAAATGGTGGCACAGAGAGGTTCAATAGCTGGTTTCATATTAGATAACTCATAAAATTTGCAAAGCATTTTACATAATTTGATCTTCACAACAACCCTGTGAGGTAGGTGCCATTATTATCCCCATTTTACAGATGGGGAAACTGAGGTTGAACCCATGGAGGTGACTTACCCAAGGTCACATGGCAGGAAAATCTCTGAGGCAGGATTCACACTCAGGTCTTTTGTGACTCTAAGTCAAGCACTCTAACCACTAAGCCAATTGCCTAGAGATATGGAATCTATATAGAAACCCCTTTAACTTCCCTCCAGATTCCTCTTAAGCCTCTCATAGTCCTCATTTATTTTCTCTTCCTTCCTCCCAGTCTCAGAAGAGGTGGCTCTCCTCTCTCATTTCCTCCATTATCCCTTCCAACAATCATACCCTCTTGCTCATGCGTCTAAGTCTCTCTCTCCTCCCAGCCTGTACATATGCTCCCATCTTACCCATTTTAAATAAACAACTTTCCCTTGATTATATCACAATCCTCCCTCACATTATCCTTTTCTCTTTGTTGTTGAGTTATTTTCCTGTCCAACCCTTCGTGACCCCATTTAGGGTTTTCTTGGCAAAGATACTGGAATGATTTTCCATTTCCTTCTCCAGATCATTTTACAAATGGGGAAACTGAGGCAAACAAGGTTAAGTGACTTGCCCAGGGTCACACAACTAGTAGGTGCCTGAGGCTGAATTTGAACTCAGGTTTTCCTAACTATAGGCCCTGCGCTCTATCCGTTGAGCCATCTGCCTGCTTTTTTCTCAACTGCTCCTTATTGCCAAACACCTAAAAACAATAGCCCAGACTTGCTGCTCCCTCTTCCTCTCTATCATTCACTCTTCAAACCCTTTTAATCTGCCTTCCACCAGTCTATCATAACAGCTTCCTCCAATGTCATTAACAACTTCCTCATTGAGAAAGTCAATGACACTTTGTTTCTGTTTTCAATCTCCTTAACTTCTTAGTAGCATATCACACTGCGCCTCCTCCATGCTCCCTGCCTTCATATTCTCCCCTCTTCTGGATTCGGTGGCACTGCTTTCTCATGACTCTTCTCTTCTCTGCCTGACGATTCCTCCCAAGTCTCTTTTGTTGCTTTCTCCCCTGTTCTCTAAAAGCAGCCCTGCTTAATTTCCACTCCACGGGATAACTTGCCTTCCCTCTCAGGATAAACCTATCACCTGACATCTCATCACTGCGAGGAATGGATAATCTGCACTTTCGGAACTCATCCTCAGTTGCTTCTCCCCTCAGGTTGCCGCTGGGTGTGGAAGGTGGAGCACTAAATTCCTCCCAAAGCCTTCCTTTATAGAGGCCTCACAGCCTTCCTGCTAATTCAATTCTCCATCAGCAGCTCTGCTTGGTTTCCGTTCCATGGAATAACATGCCCCTGTGCCAGGTAACCTCTATTTCCCCACCCACCCCCACATTTTCAGTCTCCTTTTTTTGGGGTTGCCTTCCCCATTAGACTGTAAGCTCCCTGAGGGCAGGGACTGTATTTTTTCCACTTGTATCCCCAGTGCTTAGCATGGTTCCTGGTACCTAGTAGGCACTTAATAAACAGTTACTGGTTTGAAATTAATTTATCAAATTGAATTAAATCCTAATGTTTCCTTAAATATGGGTATTGCCCAATGTTCTTTCCTTGTCCCCCCCCCAGATAGCCTCTATTCCTTGATGATCTTCTGCTTCCATGACTCTAATTATCACCTCTAAGAAGAAAACTCCCAACTCTGTATTTTAGCCCCAACCTCCCAACTTCTCCTCATAACTACAGTTCCACATTTCCGACTGCCCTCTGGCTGACTCTGCCTGTAGATGTCCCACTGGCACCTCAGACTCAACATATCGAAAACAGAATTCCTCTGCTTTTCTCAAATCTTCCCCTCCCCCAACTTTTTTTTTTCTATTTAGACTGGCAGCACCACATCATCTTTATAGTAACCTAGCTTTGTAATCTCAGTAATTTTTACTCTTGGAAAATTGTTGAATTTGGAGTCAGTGGATCTGGATTCAAATCCCAGCTGTGTTACTAATTATCTAGGTGACCTTGAGCATATCATGTTACTTCTTTGTGTCTTAGTTCCTCACCTGTGAAATTATGGGTTTGAATTAAATGTCCTTTAAGGTTCTTTCCAGTTCTAACCTATGACCCAGTTTTTCTTCTTCCTCACCCCACAAATACACTGTTTATTCTGCCTTCAAAAATCTCTCTTTTTTATATCCTTTTTCCCATGCCCACTATAGACACCTTAGAGGATTGTGCTTAATTTAATTGGAAGAACACCTCTAGTGCAGTGCCCTAGAGGTCCTTGGCCTTATGCTGCTGCATATTCTCATCAATGATTTGAATAAATGAGTCTATAGCATGCTTACTAATTTTACAGATATTAGAAAGTTGGGAGAAATACCTAATACTTTGAGTAACAAGATCAGAATCCTACAAATTTTTGACACATTAAAAGCATGGGTCAAATTTAATAAATTAGCATTTGCTATGCGTAAATATAAAGCCTACAACTGGGCTTTAACTATACAAGTACAGTAAAGACGCAAGATGGTACAGTGGATAGAACGCCATGGTCAGGAAGATCTGAGTCCATCTCCTAATTCTCACGTAGCCAGGTGACCATGGGCAAGTCACTTCGCCTCTAGGAACCAGTTTCCTAATCCTAATCATAACCCTAACCCTAAAATGTGATATTAGTGCCTGCCTGGCAGAGTTATCTAGAAACTCTCTGTAATGCAATGTGCTTTAGAAGCTTTAAAGTGCTATTAAATATTAATTATTAGGCAATTACTATACGTCTATTGAATCAATGAATAAATATTTCCCCCTAAATAATCAAACATTTATAGCACTCATGATAAGTAATAATTAGCACTTATATAGCATTTTAAGGTTTGCAAATCATTTTGCAAATATTACCTCCTTGCAACAACCCGAGAGGCAAGTGCTATTATTATCCCCATACTGGGGCAGACAGAGGGTAAGTGACTTGCCCAGGGTCACAAAGCTAGTAAACATTTGAGGCTGGATTTGAACTAGGGTCTTCCTGATTCAAGATGCAGCCTCTATCTATGAGCTCCTCTTGTTACCTTTTTAACTTAATATATTCAAGGGTGCTCTGAGTGAGCGACTAGATAAGGCAGTTCTTGTTTAACTGACAAACCTGATCTGTTTTTCCATTTACATTTTGTTCAGCTAACAAATCTGATCTATTATTCCACCTAGCTGTCTTATTTCATATATATGTGCATGTGAATGTGTGTATAGTAAAGTACTATTCTAGGTCTGTGTACTTTGCACATAGAAAGAATTTTTTAAAAAATTTATTGAATAAATGATACCAAGAAACACATATAAATATATATTACCTGCTCTTAACTAGTTTATAATCAAGAGAGATAGGACA